TTTATTTTCAATTATATAATCAAATAATTGACTAATCTTTGCAGCTCAACATCTCATCTTCATATTGTTTCCTACCTATGCTCCATATATCTGGAACAAAGTACTAGAATACTGCAGGTCTGCTGAAACTCTTACTTCTTTCAAATTCAGACTGAAGACTTTTTTTTTGCCGCCACCTTGTAATAAATCAAATAACTATTCATATCTGCACAATAACTTTTATTCTTGTAATTAATACCTGTCTTACTCTATTGTAGCTTTTTATTCTCCTTGCTTTTAAATGACTGTTTTTAAATGTATTTATACACCATACCTTAATTTTTTAATGTTTTTTTTCTGTAAAGCACTTTGAATTGCCTCTTATTGAGATGTGCTATATGAGCAAACTTGAATTGCCTTGCCTATTGTCTCATCTCCTTACTGTAGTTGTGTTTGTCCTAAATGAATTGACTTGTGAACTCTATATCATTCATTGAACCAACTTGAAACTAAAATATGTCTGACTGACCTGATGCTCCTCTCTCTGTCTCTATAGATCACCATCATCTTCAAGCCCTATGAGGGGTGCACAGACCAGAGGGTCTACCAGGCCGTCACAGACAACCTCCCGGCTGCATTTGATGATGGTACGGTGAGCAGTGGAGAGCCCATCCACATGTCTGTCGGTACAAAAGGTGCCACTGGGAAGGTGCGGGCGCTGTGGATCTCTGAGCGCAGCCCAGGGCACCATGTGGAGCTGCACGCCGGCTACATCGGTGTGACTGTGATCGTGCGCCAGCTGGGCCGCTACCTCACCATGGCAGTGCGGATCCCGGAGGAGCTGGCTCAGGCCTATGACTCCACCCAGGACCTGCAGCTCTGCCTGAACGGCTGCCCCGGGGGAGAGCGCATCGACAAGGCGGGGCACCTCCCCCTGCCCCTCTCCCCTCCGCCGCTCGGCCTGCAGCTACGCCGACCCAGCTACTCCTCACAGACACAAGCATCCCCCTACGGTGCCGCGCAGGTTTTTAATGTGGAGGGGGCCAAGCAACGCTGCAGGGAGCAGCTCGAGGTGCAGGACATTTACTTCCACTCCTGTGTGTTTGATCTCCTCACCACCGGGGATGCTAACTTCACAGTGGCGGCGTACAGCGCCCAGAAGGACATGGAGAGTCTCCACCCTCATCAGGATAAATGGAGGATCTACCCCCGCGATTCGGCCCACTCCACCTTACACTCTGATTCTCAACATATCAAACAACTGGCTGTGCTCTTTCTGTGTTTCCTGAGTGTGGCGATGTGAGAGCAAAGCAGGAAGTTTGTGTATGTGTGTGCACTAGAGAGATTTTGGGAAGTTTTTAGCTAAGGCACTGATACTGAGCACTGACGCCTCTCTCATGTAAAGAGGAAACAGCTGGACGGTTACTGAGAACTCAAGCTTTTGGCCAAAAAATACTGGCAACACTAACTTGGCATACCTGGCAGAGTCAGCCTACTGGGCAGTAACTCAAGAGTTGTGATGATGGCTTTCACAATCTGTATTTATCTTTGAATAAGACGCCTGACAATGACACAAACATGTGTGGGTGAATAGAGTGTGTGGATATACACTCCAAACTGTAAATAGCTTGTCTTCAGTGCACAGTGTAATGGCGTAGAGTTGTTTTTGTGTCATTTGTTGTGATTATTCTTTGATACCTCAGACAGAGGATGTTTGTTTTAAACAGAAGCACTTTATTTTGTTTTATTCCTATAAATCCACATCAGTGTTTTTTCCTCTCTCTCTCTTGCTGTCCTCCACCAATCCTCAATGGCTCAAGTTTTGGAGACCATCTGTAATATACATTTTTGATCATTTCAAAGTAAGTCTTTTAAATTCAAGGAGCTGCCATTTTATTGATATCCATCATTCTTCCAGTAGGTGATTTGACTCAGCATCTCATTTTAATGCGAGTCGGTCAATGTGAGTTGTTCTCTATTGAATGTATTATGAATATTGTCACAGCAAATTCCATCAGTACAATTCTGTTGCCGTTTGAATTTGTGGTTTTTCCTCAGTCCTGATTTCAAATATCTGGAGTGTGTGTGTGTGAAAGTGTGTGTGAAAGTGTGTGTGAGTGTGCCTGTGTTGTTTTTTACCAGTTGGTGACATGCTTGGATGTGCTTGTTTTATTCCCACCATTTTGACAAAAGGCTGTGACAATAGGGGCTCATGTATGTTGCGCTTTGTATCTTTGTTGTGTTAATTTGAGCCAAAGACAGATATTGTATGTTTATGTACAAAGGAGATCATAGCTCACCACCAAACCAGCACCGTTATCTTTGTCACACTCTTCTTTTTTTAAAGTTGCTACTGTAGATTGTTTTTGATGAGCTGATCCTTCCTGGGATAAGTGTAACATACTGGAGTGTAGAAAAATCCCTGCAAACCACACTCTCTGCTGAGACATGTGCTTCAGCAGTGTGTAGTGGAAAATGTATGCCATTTCAAACCTGATAGAAATGTCCCTTAACACTATGAGACTCATTATGAGCCTTTTTATCCTGTAACATTTGTATAATGATGCCCTAAATGGTTGGCAATAATCAGCTTAATCTCAGTTCTTGGCAATGTAATCTCTTACATTGCGTGTGAGTGTCAGTTTGGTGAAGAGCGACTGGTCAGTGTTGAAATACTTAACTTATTTATGAACGTAGTGTCCTGTAGAGGAAGTTAAGCTCCATATTCTTGCTGTTGGATAATAATTTAAAAAAATGTCAGATGTGATTGTACTGCCACTTAGTGGTGCTCTGTTGCTATGTCAGTGTGTTACTTACGGCGCTCAAAAAACAAAAAAAACATGGAGAAAAAAACTGTGTGCAAGTGTTTTATTTCAAAAACAATAAAGTCAAAATGGTTCAAGTTTACTTCCTGTTTATTAACGTCACAATTGACCAGAACATAAAAAAACAAAACAAGATGCTCATTTGTTTGTTCAAAACGTTAATGTTTCCCCTACATCTTTCATAGTATTTTAGGCATTCAAGGAATTCAGGAATAAAGATCAGTGAGAACACAAAAAGATCTTCTTACAAACATAAACACACACACAAACACACACACATATAACAGCATGTGCACTAACCCATCTGTCTGAGGTTACGCTTTGATCAGATACCAAGATCAGCCTCACAAACAAGATCTGTGCTCAACTGCCACAGTTTGCAACACCTGCGATGTCAATGAGAAAGAGCGCCACAAAAGATTTGTAGAATTTGAGACCTGCTACTTCCCATTTAATCCAAGAGATTCCCATCCAAAACTCAGTGTAAACCAAAAGTGGGCTATTCTCAACTTCTTCCAATGCAGAAATCCTCACTTTGCCGACTTCAGACAAGAAATACTTCCCTTTCTGGGTTAGGTTTCTTTTCAAGGTCACTTGATTTTAACGAAGCTCTCCATTTCAATCATCTGAAAGGTTAAATACATTGAACAGTTACATACAATGTTAGTTAAAACACATTACACACTATAGGACCACACTATGAATGTGAGTGGAAACCTCTTACCACTTAATAACAGCATAAATGGTCATCAAAGTGTTGAAGACGATGATCTTCATGAAAATCAGCCTCAGAACCAAGACTACCACTGTATTAGTCCACAGACCAACATCTGTAGAAAAAAACCACACACCAACATAACAAACAACATCTGTATGACCCAGAAGGTTTCTTTTTTTAATGAGTGGCAAAACTTTACCTTCTGTTTCTTCACGTTCATAGCAGGTGTTGTCTTTGTGATCTAAAATTATACAAAAGAATTACCTATTTAAATAAAAAAGTAGCTTTTATTTGTGAGTAGAAATTACACACAGTGTAGTCCTACCTGATGAGTGGTGTCTCCTGGGGACTTTTGGGTGACGTCTGTGACTCGCAGAGCAGCTGTACGATGGCCAGTCACCGGTCGCCACAGTGATGATTGCCACAGCGCTGTTTCCACGATGCTTCCTGTTAACAGCCATGCTGTATGGGGAGCTGGATACCTGGCCTTCTGATGGTGACCTCCAGCTGACCTCTAGGTGCCCTCTCCTGAAGTCGCTCACCATACAGACCAGCAGGGTCCAGCCCAACCTCTCCCCTGACAGGTGGACCGGAGGGGCCAGAGATGCCAGCACATCACACTTTACTCCTCCTTGAAGATGACATACATGAAGAGGATATTAGAATGAAAAAAAGATCTTGGTTGGTGACTATCCGACTGAAGGTGATGCCTTGGTTCAAACACAACAAGGCAATGATGTAGAAAAAGTGTATAAAATAATTGTAGATATGCTGCAATTTGTTTAAACAAACAACAAACAACTTTGCTGTTTTCTCATGGGAACAGAATTTCAAGGACATCAATATAACATTATTACACATCTTAAAGTTATTTTTGTGCTGAAATCTTAAAAACCTCCAAAAAACGTTGTGATTTTATGATGTAACTCTAGCAGAAGGTACCCTAATACAAAATACTAAGAATATTGTCAAAAGCTCTTTGTTGCAAATTTGTAATTTTTGCTTTATAAATAATATTGACTTCAATTTACTCTATCTGAAACAGCCATTAATTAAGTTCAAACACTGCAGTTTTCTTTAAATGTACAGAAAGACAAAAGTAAAACTAACTCAGAGAAGTTGATATTTTGGATATTTCTGATCTTCACTAAATAGTGATGTAGAATATTCTTGCCCATTGGCTAAAAAATATTCCCTTTTCATAATATAAAATTATAAAAGTATTAAAATGTGAGAACCCTTACCTGTCCACAAATAGATGATAGGAAGGTAATATAAACCGTTGGATGGCTCAGTCATGTCTCTGTTAGCTTTAGTGGCTTCAGTGACTGCTGTCTTGTGTGTGTGAGTGTTTGTGTGTGCACTGTGTGTATATGTGTGACTGTGTGAAATGGGGGCATGCCGTTTGGCTTTGCCAGGAGCATTGCATTATGGGGATTGACATGTCACATTGTTTGGACCTCATGCTAACAATGAAACCCCCCCCACCCTAACACGAGGCACAGGGGGAACAGTTTGTGCTTATTGTTGTGAGCTCTTTTTACACAATGTGGGCTTTAACTGGTTAAAACGTTAAAACTGAGGACCGTAATGTGGAGTCAATGAAGAGTCCTTTCATCTACTGGAAACACCTGCCTTCGACTGTTGAGGTAAGAAAGGATGATCCTATCAACACACCCAGATTATTATTAACACCTGCACACAAACACGCACGCACGCGCACGCGCACACACACATGGAACTCATAAGAGAAAGTGAAACTCAACAGCAGGAAATGCAGGGGAGGATGATGAAGCAAAAATAAACGAGGTAAAGCTCTTTTGACAATTGCTATTTGATTACTGCTAAGACATTTCAAATTTAGTACTTTGAATGTGAGCAATACTTTACTAACTGTGACTTTATAACAATATTTGAGACTAATTTAAGTTTATGTTGTGAATTACATCTTCCTCACCATCTCTGCATGGTGCAGCACAGCTACTGTGAGTAGCCTGGTTTGAACTGCAGTTATGCTGCTGCAGCTGTTGTCCCCACACAGTTATAGCTGTGTCCTCAGCCAGTTTTGTCCCATGGAAAATCATGTGGTTTGATTGTCACATGTTTGAGTCTCGTTCAGATCGAGTTGTGTTGTTGTTATGGCCTAGCTCAGTTTGCTTATTAACAAACCTCTCAACAGAATGCAGAAGCCCTTTGTAATATAAAAACATTTGCCTCGTAGGTTGATATATTTTTTCTGCATTGCAAGCTACACTGTATGAATAGGTTTGTAGGCAGATACATTATTTGAAGGTTTGGATAACAACTTAACAGTGGCAGTTATGTATGGTCCAAGTTTGAAAGTGATGAGGAAATTACTTTTGAAACCATAACCATACATACCATACAACTGGCTGAAGGAGGCAAGAAAGAACATTGGTATAATCGTTTCATTTAAATATATATGTGATGTATTTTTAATCCTGCTCAAATGTCTTTCAGGTTTCAGAGAAAACGTCCTGGTATTTTTGATTCAGCAGTATTCTGATAGTATGACATCTGGACATCATCCCGGCAGACATTCAACACTCAACCTATATGCCCCAGTTCAATATTTACTTTTAGCATTTCACACAACCCTTTTTTTTATTTGAAAGACTTGGTTGAAGGACATTTCATCTACGATGGCCTTGTTGGGGCTATTAGTTCTCTCTCTATTCCATGTGTCTCTGGTTGGTTCACACACAAGTTCTAAACACGCACCAAGTCCTCCTCAACCCGCAGGGGAACAGTCTCCTGAAGGATCGGATAACCTCTCGTTCCCTTGGAGCCGTCTTCGTCTGCCAAGGTGCCCTTCATGCTTTTTTTTTATAACAGCCCCATCTAAGACATAAGTACATTTTCAAGGATCATTGAATTAACAAGTGTATCTTTATCTCAGGTACATCATTCCTCTTCACTACGACCTCCACCTGCACCCCAATCTCACTAGTCTCAGTTTCACTGGCACAGTGCAGATCCAGATTGACGTCCAGAACAACACAAACTGGGTCGTGTTACACAGCAAGGGTTTGAAGATTTCAAAGGCCACGATATTGGACCAGAACCTCACTCATCTGTCTGATAAGGTAATGGTAAAAGCAGAGTTAATATTATTACAGTTTATTTGTTCTTGTTACCATTGAATAACACATATTTTCAACTGTCTATCTCCTCTTGTTCTAGGTTCTTCCAGTTCTTCATCACCCTTCCCATGAGCAGATTGGCATTTTCTCTCCCAGGGTGCTCAGCAGTGGGCGAAAGTACTTTCTGTGCATTGAGTTTGGGGCAGAACTTGCAGAAGGCTTCTATGGCTTCTATAAGAGCACCTACAGAACCAGCACAGGAGAGACAAGGTAAGAGATGATTCACAGCAAGCTTAGTAAAATATTCAATAGTCTGTTGTCTATATACAAAAACTATCCTCTGATTTCCAGAACCTTAGCTTCAACTCACTTTGAGCCCACAAGTGCCCGGATGGCATTCCCTTGTTTTGATGAGCCAAACTTCAAAGCCAATTTCACCGTTCGGATCAAGAGGAATCCAGAGTTTATCTCCCTGTCCAACATGCCTATAGTGAGTGCTGCCTGTATGCTAGGTGTCACACATGTTTACATATGTTTAAGAAATGGCTACAATATGTGATTTGTGTATTTCAGGTCAAGACAGTTGAAGTAGGCGATGGCCTGCTTGAGGACCAGTTTGATGTCAGTGTAAAGATGAGCACGTACCTCGTAGCTTTTGTCGTCTGTGACTTCAAATCTGTCACGGCAACAACATCCTCTGGGGTGCAGGTGTGGTCTCCCCAACGATATTTGATTTCCTTCATTTCTCGCCAACAATATTTCTCTCTCAAGGACACTCTAATTGCTTTTTCATGCACTGTTGTGTATCTGTAGGTGTCCATCTATGCCTCCCCTGAGAAGTGGCAGCAAACTAGCTACGCCCTGGAGGTTGCTGTCAAAATGCTAGATTTCTATGATGAATATTTCAATATCCACTATCCTCTTCCCAAGCAAGGTACTCTATTTATTTTTGTCACTACTTTTTACATAATGTGACATTTGCTTCTCTTTACCCTGCCACTCTCTGCTCCCTGAGCTGTGTTTTTCCTCTCTCAGATCTGATAGCCATCCCAGATTTCGAGTCTGGTGCGATGGAGAACTGGGGTCTGACCACCTACAGAGAGACCAGCCTTCTCTATGATCCTCTCACATCCTCCATTTCTGATAAACTCTGGATCACTATGGTGATTGGCCATGAGCTCGCCCATCAGGTGAGAGTGTGACATTGTGTCTGGACTCTGGTGACAGGATTACATATTTGTTAAGCTTCAGTAGTAATCTTACTGATTTTGCATGCAGTGGTTTGGTAACTTGGTGACCATGGAGTGGTGGAACGACATCTGGCTGAATGAAGGATTTGCGCGATACATGGAGTATATTTCAGTGGAGGCCACTTACCCTGACCTCAAAGTGGTATGTGCTTTGTTTAATCTGAGAATCAACATAAATGATTAATAGTGGCAGATTAATATTAAGCCTAGAAGAGAGCACTTATTAACATGTTTTGTGTGCAATTTTGCAGGAGGAATATCTTCTGCACACCTGTTTTGCAGCAGTTGGCAGCGATTCTTTGAACTCCTCTCGGCCAATATCCAGCCCAGCAGAGAACCCCACTCAGATCAACCAGATGTTTGACACGGCCTCCTATGACAAAGTAAGCTTTCATTCTCATTCAGTCCCAAAGACAACATTCAACTGATAATGGCAATTCATTATGAGTATAATCTGTTGAAATGTTTTACCCACAGAATCAAAGATATATAAAAACACTTCTGATTGGCCTGGTTTGAAATTACTGCATAACTATTGCTCTCTTTATGAATATTGTAACTCCATTCAAACTGTGTTGAAATCAACCTACAGGTACAATATAACATTTTCTGGCCTGATTAAAATACCTTTTCTTTCCCACCAGGGAGCATGTGTCCTGCACATGCTGCGACACTTCCTGACAGATGATGTGTTCCAGCGGGGGATCGTGCGATACCTCCGCAAATACAGCTACAAAAATGCACTCAACCAGGACCTGTGGGACAGCCTAGCCAATGTACAAACACAATTTACATACATACATATAAGTCTTTTGACTTCTTGTAAAGCAATTAACTAATCTTTTTAGTATTTTCCATATATTAGATATCTGGTATATTTATTAACTAACTTAAGATTTCATAATGGATGCTGTATTGTTTTTAAATGTAGATATTTCCATACCTTTCAGACAGCAGTGACTGTTCATTCATTATGGCATAAATCAACTGCTGATACTTGAAAGTTTCTCAAAGTAGGGTATCAATCAAAATGAAAATGATGTCTGTTTTTAGAGTATTATGTTCTCTTTTACCAGTAATGTAAATCATTTAAAAAGAATACACCACTGAGACATGGTGTACATTGTGATAGATTACAAATCTCACACAAATTAAGTCTCAAAGTTAGTTGTATTGAATGACATCGATCACAAATTTAATTGAACAGCTGCCTAAAATAAATGTTCATGTATTATGGTAAGGTGCAATGCAGGGTATTTATTGGTTGTTTTCCAGACATGCTCCGAGGAGGACTTCATCTCAGGAAAACACTGTTACAGCAGCAGCCAAGCCTCCAAGAATGCAGTGAGTAAACATAACAAACCTTACTGACCTTTTTTTCATGGGTTTTCCTCAAGTACCTTTTAAAAGATTTCGATCTGACCTTGTGCCATGGTGCGGTCGCACGTGTTGTCTCCTTCAGTACCTGTTTGCAGGGGAACACCTGGACCTGACAGCCATGATGAACACTTGGATTCTGCAGAAAGGTATTCCTCTGGTAACCGTTACTAGGAAGGGGCCCCATCTGCTGCTCAGACAGGACAGGTTCCTGAGGACAGTGCTGCCTTCTGATCCTCTCTGGTCCTCTGTGCAAAAGGGGTGAGCATGCACATGCACTTTCAAAGTTTCTAAAACTATTTTAATTTGGTATTACCCAGTAAAACCTTTAAGTTGACCTGATGATACAATAAAACTCTATTTTCCTGTAGTTTCCTTTGGCACATCCCTTTGACATACAAGACGGATGCTTCAAACACCATCCACAGACACCTGATGACCACACAAACAGGTAAAGAGCGAATGTGTTAAATATAAATCATGTATAATATCACTTTTGCTTTGACATTATAGTGTTTTTTTATTCTATTATTCTGTTTATTTCTCATTTAGACAGTATACACATTGGAGAGGAAGTCAGCTGGGTGAAAGTCAACACTGACATGACAGGCTATTATGTGGTTCATTACGAGGATGGTGGCTGGGACAAGATGACAAAACTACTGAGACAAAACCACACCGCTCTGAGCTACAAAGACAGGACTCAATTAATACACAACGCTTTTCAATTGGTCACGTAAGCATCTATGTGTTCTTGTGGGTTTGTGTTAGACCAACACAGACAGTCAAAAAAACAGCCTAAATGATCCCTCCTGAAATCTAACATTTTGAAATATTCTTGCATGTCTCCAAAGGGCAGGTCACCTGTCGCTCGATAAAGGCTTAGACCTGATTGGTTACCTGCAATTGGAGACACACAACGTGCCTCTCCTCCAAGGACTGGGCTCTCTGCAGGCCTTTTACCATATGATTGAGAAAAGGAATGAGATTGATGTCACACGCAAGCTGCGGGTAAGAAGACTACACAATGAGGGTGATATACTATATATGCAAATGTTGGCATTAAAAGCAGTTTATTTTCATGGTTAATGCTTTCTTTTTACGTGTACAGATGCACATCCTGCGATTTTTCCGTGCTGTCATTGACCAGCAGACGTGGAGCGACGGGGGCTCTGTGTCCGAGCGACGGCTGAGGTCAGAGCTCCTGTCACTGGCCTGTCACCTGGATGACCCTCCCTGTCTGGAGCGGGCCCGTCAGAGCTTCAAAGACTGGCTGCAGTCCAAGGGTACACTCAAGTATGTCTGCCGAAATTATATTTTTTACACTCATCATTATAAGTCACCAACCTCTGATATCATTCAAATAAACAGCAGCTATGGCCTGTGTGCGGCTGGGCTATTTAATGTTGTATTTCATCATGTCTCTAATGTGCACGTCTCTGCTTGTGTTTACCATAGCCTGCCAACCGATGTGGCAGAGACAGTGTTTTCAGTCGGAGCTCAGGAGGACCACGGCTGGGCTTCACTCTTACACACATACAACATCTCTTCGTCTGCAGCACTGAAAGGCAAAATCCTGTTTGCCTTAACCTGCAGCAGAGACACAAACAAACTACACAGGTACATCTTCTCTCTTTTTCATTTTTTACACAGTGTATGCTGCCACCATGTGGCAAACATAGGGTATTACATCCCAGTGCTGCAGCCAACAGAAATCTAATATTTATTCTGTTGTCCTTGTCAGAGTTAGATGATAGATAATGTGACGCTAATAGAGCATGTTATATTCTGTGTGTGTCTATTTTTCAGATTGCTGGAGTTGGGTCTTGAAGGGAAGGTGATTCGATCCCAGGATCTTTCCTCTCTCATTTTCATGGTGGCCAGAAACCCACAGGGAAATCGCCTCGCCTGGAACTTTGTCAAAAAGAACTGGGACACATTGGTTCAGAGGTTAGTGCAACATAAGACATTGTGACAATACAGATAAGATCATAAAAACCTTATGAATAAATAAAAATGCATTTTCCTTACTACTACTACTACTA